AAAACCTTTTTTTTGGGGGGGGGAACCAAATTTTTTTTCCCCTTTTCCCATTTTTTTTTTTTTTTTTTTTTTTTTTTTTACGTTTTGTTCTTAGTTTGGTTTCAATGGATGTACTGAAACTCTACTGACTGGATTTCATCATTCATTTCCTTCTTTTTTTTGCCATTGTTGCCTCTGGATGCAGCAAAGAAGAGCATTACGGAGTGGAGGACTGCAACGATGCAACAGCAGGCTTTTATTGGCCATCAAACTCTGCAACAAAAGCTGTTTAGGACATCCCAGGGTTTGAGAGTAGACAGCAGTAAAAACTGCTATTTGAGCAAGACTTTACAGTTTTCACCATGACAATAATACACTTCAATTTGTGACCATTAAAAACTGTCCAAGTCTGGTTAAAGCAGACAAGCATTAAAATAATGTGACCTATGAGCAGGTCTGTATTAATGTGATCAGTTATGAGGCAATGATAGCACCTTTGCTTTGTAAAAGTATTCATACATCTTCCACAATTTGTCATAATCAGGAAATTCAGTGTGTTTTATTGGGATTTTACGTGATTGAGCAACATAAAGCTGCATCTTATTATGAAGGAGAAGAAAACTATTCCTGGTTCTCACTCAAAATGGTTTAAAAAAAATGATATGTGGCATGCTGTTTTCCTCCTTTACCATAATAACCCTAAAAAGGAAATCCAGTGCAACCAGCTGCCCTCAGATGTTGCCTATTTACTAAATACAATCCAAATGTTTGATTTATTCTCTGTATAAATCCAGACATTTTGTGAAGGTCTAAGGTTTTTTTCTTTTTTTTTTTAGAAAACATTAAAGAGCAGCGTTATGAAGACCAAGGAACAACACAAGTAAGTTTAGGGAGAGATTAGTGGGGAAGTTTCAAGCAATACTAGATCCCACGCTTTGAGCATCTCACTGAACTTCACTATTTATTCCATCAACAAATCTGGCATCTAAGGAAGAGTGGCAAGAAATTATTTTCAAAAAGTCATAAGAAGTTACAAAGTATTAATTTAGCTGAGTTCAAGACAAATGCATGACACCCTTTCCATAATTTTTGGCAAAAATCATGCATAGTTTTCCTTCACTTTCTAATTATGGACAACTTTTTGTGTGTCTACCACATACGTATAATTTTGCACAAGTTTCTAGCTTTAAAATGACCAAATGTGAAAAACATTGATGTGTGGGAACACCAATGCACTGTATTTTGACTATTTCATTTAGATGAGGAACATTTCTACATAACCCTGCTATCAATCCAACCGCAGAAAAAAATTCAAATTCAAAAAAGAATAAAAATTGTCCCAGTCATCTAGATATACAAAGGACAGCATATAAAGCAAACATATAGTGTGCTCTGCAGTTCCAGAGAAGAGACAGCAGAAACGGACACCAGGAATAGCACTTTGCCCTGATATGAGCCAATATTATACTCAAATGACATTAATGCCTAGCAAGCTTTCTTCAAGAATAAATTTTTTTGCTGACTTTATTAAATAAACTTTCAATCATTTCTCGATCAGCAAAAAGAACAGTGCTTGGAGAAGCTGATGAAATACCATAAAAATAAGCACGCCAAAAACTATTTTTGCACATCTGCAGATCTTGTCTGACATCAGAGTTTTGCTTCACCATCCTCTGCAGCCTACAGCTACAGCTCCACTATACATATACACGTGTAACTCCTGCTCACCTTTCCTTGACCAGCGTGCTCTTCTTAGAGGTGCTGTCTGTTCGTCCTCTGACTCCTGACGCAGCGGGCTCCAGGACCACCACTTGGGGCTTATCAAGGAAACACCAGCCATTGTGCACTCCGACGTGAAGCCTCCGTTCTTGAATGACAACCGTTCGTTGGGCATCCTCAGGTTCAGGTTGTTTCTAAGAAACAGAGAAGATCACAATTGGGTTATCACACACACAAAGCTAAAGCAGTTCACATGAACAGTGCATGTGGATGATCTTGTTGATTTCAACAAGGTTATTGTCTAGTGTTCAATGTCATGCTCATAAAGAAAATTGAGTCTCTGATGGAGATTTGATCTTAACCCCAACTAAAGATTTAAAGGAGGGTGGGGGGGGGTGATATGTATTTTCCAGGCACAGAGTGTCATTTCAGAGCACCATTAAATGACTAAGTTACCTTCAGTTGTTATGAAAATGCTGCATACATCAAACATAACTTAAAAGAAATTTAATTTTCCAATTTGATACCTTGAAATTGACATCTCTCTTTAAGAAGCTCATACTCTTTCCGACACGCCACATTCAACACGTCATCACAACAATGTTCCTCCATTACGAAATTTACAACTGTTCTTAGGAGCATTGGACTGAGAAGTAGTTTGTATGATAAGCTCTGCAGAGGAGCAGTTCCACCAGGTGTTTGCTCACTGCCGCTGCCGCTAGTCTAGAGGAGCTGAGTGAACGAGGAGTGTAGGAGACTGCAACTCTAGGGTAATATGCGGTATTAAGTGAGAGTAAGTAATTCGGCACCTCAGAGGACCGCCAGAGGAAATTCATGGATTCCTGAAAGGATACAAGCAATACCAGGTGTGCTTGTGATGAGGAGATATCATTATAACATCAGATAAAGCTTAAAAAAAAAGCCTACTTTTACATCCCTTTAAAAAAAACACTTCAAGCCAACTATGCCTCTCGTCACAGATTTTGGGGCAACGGAGAAATCTCTCTATCTTGCTTTCTAGAAAATACTGTAAAGGAGAAAAGACAGCAGAAGCAGCAGCAACTTGCAATTGTAGCCTTTATTTTAGCAAAAAAAAAAAAAAAAGCCAATTAAATTGCGAGAATTAAATATATATCATTAATCCTTTCTTTTGTAATATCACATTCACTGGTACATTCAAACAAAATGGCTTTTTAAAAATATGTATCTGATGGTGTGAGTAAAGCAAAAAAAAAAAAAAGTTTAACTCTTATTTTTTATGAAGGCATACTAAAAGAAAACTAGAAACTCCATGTCCAATCATGTCCTCATGCTACTGTCAGCTTATTGTGTTTTCTTCCCCTGCAGACTGGCAGTCAAGGGGCCTTGTACAACTTTTGAACTCCATGAGCCGCAATTATAGAGGAGCGAGCAATTTTTAAGTAAAGACTTTCTGTGGACAAGAAAATCTGTTTGCTGAAATGTTGAATTAGTTGGTAATAGCAGTGGTTTGCCGAGAGATAAAGTAAAACTTCTGACAAAGACGCAAAGGTCTATTAAGAATGCTTACTGAAATGTATTAAGGCTCAGGACCGCACTATAAATGCTTAAATTTTGATATTTGTTTATTGAGACTGAGAATATGCTTTTAAATATTAAATTATTTTAAATAGTTTAACATTTAGAAAACCTACACAGCATGTTCAAGAGGAAAATAATGTAGAGAAGCTTAGCCCATTAGCTTAGCCACAAATATTATTGTCTCCATGCCTTGTTGGACCGAAGCCGCAAATCATGGTGAAGTACATGGACATATTTTTCAACAGGTTTGCATTTAAAAGTCCCTTTGACTGATATTATGTCACATGTTAATTTCCAAGGAACTGAATAATGCAATTTCATTAGTTGTGGGTCAAAATCATTTGAATGACCAAAGATAAATGTAAAACTTTATCACTACATAATGAACTCAAATAATGTGTTGTACTTTCAGAGCTGAATTACTAAAATAAATGAGCCTGTCAATGATGTATATTTTATAAATTCACCTGTACAGACAGCCTTCAAGCTGAGAAAACTGACAGTCATTCTCTTTAACTGCTGCTGAAGGCCTAGTTAAACATCCATTGATGCATTTTCCTTGCATTGATGCTTTCATCTGATCACTGAAGCGTACAGAACACATGTAAATCACAATCTGATTCTGAGAAGGCCTGTGTATCAAGTAATTGTAGCGAGGGACTACACACTTGCTGCTATTTGTTAAGTGAGTGACAGTTGTACACTGGCTGACTGCAAACTGTCTAACCCTGAAACGCAAAGACACCATATGCTCGCCTCTCGTTCCTACTCCTTCCTATTTGTTTCATTTCAGTGTTCTTCTCCCTATAATGTCTCCTACTCCCACTTGCCTTTTCTCTTTCCATTGTCATTCTCGCTCTCAGTCCCCCTAGCAGCTTAAAACCTTCTCCATATCCACCCACACCTTCTCAATCAAATTAGCATATCAATTCAGACGGGGGTTTTCTTTTAAAGCAGCAACAGCAGGAGCAGCAGCCTAGCTTGCCTGGATACCAAACAGCCCACATGCCTAACTACTTACTGTTCTTCTCAGGTTACATCTATGCAACGCTTGACTTTATCCTCATCTCATCCTTTTTACAACCTACACCCACCGTTTGTATTTTTAATTTCTTCTAAAGCCAAGCTGCACAAAAGCTCAACAACTTATGACATTTTCTGTTTGGTTATGGGAGATTAAGGTTCTTGTCAAATCCTAGCCTTTTTATCCTGTCTGGAAAAAAAATCCAAAAAAAAAAACAAAAAAACAACCCAATTCCTAACCACAAATGTGATATTTTATTTCAATATATGATTATTTTGGTTACATATACTGTATATATTCAAAACTATCAACTGCCTTGCTTTTATTATGTGTTTGAGGTATTCTGTGCAACTATGCTTGATAAGTACTGCAATATGTTTTACATCAATTTAACAGCATTCCTGATACATTTTGAATCATGCCGGCTGTAATTTGACTTTAGGGCAGGTTATATAACCATTTTAGTTTGCTCACACAAACTTAATCGATCGCAGAGTTACAAGAACAAATGAGGATGCATCAGAAACTGCAGGTGGTATCATTACATTATAGTTACCTAAAACAAGTAAATATTGCGTACAAAGTCTACATAAACATAATCATGATTTCTCTGCAAACCGATTTACATATTCACGTCATCGCTTTGAATAACTAAAATCTCTAGAGGTGTGTGTGTGTGCGTGCGTGTGTGTCTGTGTGTATAGTATTGGATTTTAGTCTACTTTGGAAGAGATTTTAACCTCAAGCAGTAAAAGCTTTTTTTTTTTTTCCATTTATCCAATGCTTAGTGAAACAATTTGAGCTGATTTTAATCAGCATTTTACTTAATTTATCAGTCTGCCATTGTGGTCATACTTGAACTCATAAGAGTACTGCAACAATAATTACCATTACATTTATGACCCATCATGCCCACTTGAAAAAAGAAACTAGAATGTGCCTATAGGATCTGTAAACTGAAAACTGACATTTAATTACTATCATACAAACATTATTATATATATATTTTTAAATGTGGCGAGTTTAATTGTCTAATCTAATTTATGAATATTTATTTTAAAGATATTGGTACAATCAGGAAGGTCAATAGCAGATATTTTCCATGTAAAGCGAATTTTCTTTGCATGCCTGTTATCTCAGACTTAAATTGTTCATATGGCTCTTAAGTGCTTCTGCTCTAATGCAGATGAATAAATGTGTTGATAAAAGCAATAAAGCAGCAGTTTTCATACAGACATCTGTTTGTTTTCATTCATGTTCAAAGACTTAATTGTGCAGGTTGACTTTTCAGCAACACAACTAACTGATCTGATATGACCAGAATAAACTAAACTGAAATAAAATAGTAAAGACGCACCCAGAAATAAGCAAACAACATTTTTTGTGTGGAGGTTGTAAGTATAAGAAGAGTGAAAGTTAGCCATTTTCAGTATTCACAAGGTATTTGAGGAAGCACAAAAGATGGAGAGAATAAAAATGGTGTGAAGTATTTTGACTGCTCATTACTGCTGTTTTGCTGAATTAGTGAAGGGCTAAACTGACCCAAAGACTGCTTTACTTTGGGTATACACATATATACTGATGAGAACTTTTGGCAACGTCAGCCAGGCTAATTATATCAACCAATAACACAAAATGCAGAAGTCAGTTGAAAATATCAGCTCCACATCATGTTGCCTTTGGCTTCAAGTATTAAATGTTTTGAAGCACGCGCTTTTGCTTGTGTAATGAAGCTGTCATTGATATATATAACATGAACATCGTGCCACGCATATGTTAAGTATTTATGTATATGGAACACCTTGTGCACAGAACAATAAGTAAAGCTCATCTTGTCCATTGTTATGTCAGATTGTGGTGTTTTATTTTGCATCATGCAGCTGATGTAACTAAGCTTTATAGAGTTAAGATGTTATACCGCCTTTAGTCTCGCTGTGACAGAGTTGCAGCTATCAGCACAAGTGTGACAGGATATCTGTAAATAATTGCTTTCAGTGACATTCACATCATAATGATGGTGTATATTTCCACAGATTGTCTGCGCTCACTATTTCCCTTCACTGCAGTCTGTGAAGGATGACAGGCAAATGGGTTTGTCTTTTGTTGGACAGGTCTGTCATGAAGTGTGTCAGAGAAAAAATAAAAGACAGGGGAAAAAGTTGTTTTGAAGACATCCGTTAAAATGCTGTTTTCTGCTCCTTCTGTCCCTCTTTTCTTGAAAGTTCCTTTTTCATTTATTTCATTGCTCCCTTTTTCCTCACTCTGTCAGTTTCTCCCTCTCTCTACCTATCTTGCACACTATCCTCTTTCTTCCCCTTCTTGCCTCTGTCTGCTGTCGTCACAGATTTCTTCCTCCCTTGCCTGGAATATGAATATTTTAGGGCTAAGAAGCTTACAGGAACAATGAAATGGCCCCAAAGTTAAATTATACTCCTTTTCTGTAGTCACTGAAGAGGGAATTCTCAAAGTGATGAATACACCGGTGGATCAGGGGTGTGCCCCTCACTTTTTTTCTCATTTACATAGGTCCTTTATTTAATTTGTTTTTATTCATGTGTTTGATATGTCAGTAACTACAACTTGAATTGCTCAACTTGGGATAGAAGTTGC